TCGAATTAATCAATTGAATGAATGATTCAGTGAAAAAATCAGTGACTTGCCGCCACCTGCTGGCAGTTTTAGTTAATTTTTTTAAGTATCTTTTCAGTTATTTAAATCATTTAATATTTCTATATTCAACATTTTATATTTAAAACATTAATCTCAACATGAATGTATGGATGTAACTGCACTCATTCCACTTCTGAGCCTCATCAAATGTCTGAAAATACACCAAGCCACTTTTGTGTTCTTCTGTGCCACCTCTGTACAAATGAATTTTCTTAATACTAGTGCTGTCAAATGATTAATCGCGATTAATCGCATCCAAAATAAAAGTTTGTTTACATAATATACGTGTGCGTACTGTGCATATTTATTATGTATATATAAATACACACACACGCATGTATATATTTTGAAAATATTTACATGTATTTACATGCATACATGTATATTCATATAATTTATATTTATAAATATATTAAATATATAAACATCACATATTTTTCTTAAATATATATGCATGTGTGTATTTATATATACATAATAAATATACACAGTACACACACATACTTATTTTGAATGCGATTAATCGTTTGACAGCACCAGGTAATACTGATTTCATTTGATTGGTAACTTGTTCTTCTTATTCTGTGGTTTTAATTAGAATTTTCAAAAAAGCTTATAAAACAAATTTCTTTTAAAATTTGACAAAAGATGACACTTTTAATAAAGTTAGAAAAATGCCATTACAAAGGTAAAAACAAAATTCTACTGTAAGTCCCTTTAAGGAGTCAAATATCACCTCATAATGGGAAGGCAAATTTTTTATCAAATTTTGGATTATTGATTAGAAGGTGCTCTTAAATTTTTTACTGTGCGCCTAAATTTTTTAAGTTAGGAGCACAAGAGCTCCTAAAAAGGAAAGTAAGCGTAGAGCCCTGTGAATTAGAGGTCTGCTACCCGACCCGAGCCCGACGGGTCCCGAAATACTTTCGTTTCGGGTTAATGTTTAATGAATAGCTTCGGGTTGGGCTCGGGCTTATAGCTAATCTAAAACTATATGCAGTAGCCTAGGCTACGCTGCTTTCATAGACGCACGCACACACATTAGTGCACACGACAACGACAACACAGCACGGAAACTTTTAGTAGTAAAATAGCTTCGACAGGCTACTGACTGCAACTTTATATTTCTCTGCAATGAGGGGGTAAAATCACTGTTTAAGGAACTAAGCCTCATTGCTTGTAGAGAGAGGCGCGCAGACGCAGGTTCACACACGCAACATTCATCCCTCTCTCACGCTCTCTCTCGCCAATTCAAATAAATGATATAATTAATTCAAATAAATGCGATCTTACTGCACTGCATCTCTGTGTCTGATTTAAAGCAGGCTGAATGCTAACGAGCCTTAACTGACGAAAATGACCATAATTTGCACGATGGAAGAATTATCGTCTTGTCGTATACAACCATTCAAAACATTTATGTGACCGAGGCACCTGATGTTCATACATTTTCATAACTGGAAAGTGTTTTTTCTTTTGCCTTGTGAACTGGCCGAGCCTTAATGATTCTGTTTCTTTACATGTATTTGTTTACTGACCGTTCAATCGTGAAATACAGCATTTTTTTTTTTTTGTGTGGGAAAAAAAAAAAAAAAAAAGATTTCGGGTTCGGGCTCTAAATTGAACTGTGCCGCTCGAGTCGGGTCGGGCTGGGTCAGACGATCTCGGGTACGGGTCGGGTTCGGGCTTCAGTTTAAAGCCTGTGCAGACCTCTACTGTGAATACATACAGAGATTGTATCAAGGTCAGGGTTGGAAGTCATATCCATTTACTGATTAACTGTCCAGTGATTGTAACATAGATTTCCCTCGTGATGCTCTGCTGAAATACTGAGCTCCTCTTTGTTTCAGCTGAATTAGAGTAAGGCAACTGACTTCAACATACTAGTGTGTTGACCTGCTGCAGTGTAACTAGGGCTGAGCAATACAGCAAAAGTAAAATCTCTTTTTTTTTTCAGAACTGACTGACTCAAGAATGATTTTCTTTAAAATATTTTTTTTTTTAAACATGTAACTAGTGAACTTAAAAATGACTTCAACATAATTCAAATCAACATTCCCTTCATTACAAACTTGCAAAATCATCTAGTTCTACTAAAAAATGCTAAATATTTCTTAGCCAAAATGTAGACATTAAGTTTTAGAGGTCAACTCAAAAAGTCACGTTTATTCAAAATAAACAGAGCAAATCCAAGAGGGTCCTCGCACCATTGTGGCCCTAATGACTATTAATATAACAGCAGTAGTAGGCTTTTATTACTGTTAAATGTTTTGTAAAAACACAGAAAATAGCAGATTTAAGCTTTTTTCATGTTCGCATGGCACCATCATGCAAACATGAAATATTAGACATACAGTAGTAGTTCTTTACAGGTTTTTGCATTTCACTGCACTGCTTTTCCATTGCTTTTTTTGTGCAAACATTCACTTTACGGATGTGTTTGATCGTTGCGTCTCTTACAGGGTCTCGTGCATGAAACTGCATTCTAAAACCACGGTGCTCAAGTTAAAGGGATAGGTCACACAAAAATGAAGATTCTGTCATTAATTACTCACCCTCACGTCATTCCAAACCCGTAAGACCTTCATTCATCTTCGTAACACAAATTAAGATATTTTTGATTAAATCCGAGAGCTTTCTGAACCCGCATAAGCAGCAATACTTTTTGTGCTCAAAGAGGAAAAAAAAAAAGGAGACTTTATTCAACAATTTCTTCTCTTCCCTGTCAGTCTCTGCCACACGTTCACGAGAGTATCACGATGCATGTGCATGCTTTCCTCTGCTCTGTAGAGCTGTCCAAACCCGTAAGACCTTCATTCATCTTCGTAACACAAATTAAGATATTTTTGATTAAATCCGAGAGCTTTCTGAACCCGCATAAGCAGCAATACTTTTTGTGCTCAAAGAGGAAAAAAAAAAAGGAGACTTTATTCAACAATTTCTTCTCTTCCCTGTCAGTCTCTGCCACACGTTCACGAGAGTATCACGATGCATGTGCATGCTTTCCTCTGCTCTGTAGAGCTGCAGAGATTACTTACAAATTGTAATCCGTTACCAATTCCAAATTACATGACAAAAAAATTGTAGTTAGTAACACAATCCATTACATTACACATTTTATGTAATGTAATCAGACTACTTTTAGATTACTTTTGACTTAACTTGCTTATCACATTGACTTAAATAGGATAATCTTGTACCATACTGACATAAAAATACAAAGAGTAAGAAAATATATTCCATTTGTTGTTTTAAACAACATGAAATGCATTAAACATTTCATCAAGGTTTCCTAAACTGGTATTTGTGAAGGAACTGCAGGGGGTTTATGAGTTTAATAAAAAAGACAATTAAATCATAAATTTTATATTAAATTAAATCATTTTAAAATCAATCAAAATAAAATAAATATTTTATTTGTTTACCTGCATGTCATGTGACCAAGTCAGAGAACCAATGAACATGTGATAATTATTGAAATAATTATTTGGTTTAAATCTCTAGGGTACTTCAAGTAAATATATTAGGTGAAAGAGGATCAAAAATATCTTAATTTGTCTTCTGAAGATGAACAAAGGTCTTACAGGTTTGCAACAACATGAGGGTGAGTAATTTTTTGGTGAACTATCCCTTTAACGGTTCAACTCGCATCTCATAACCTTGTGTTTTCCCCATTCCACTGCCATATCTCATGTTTTTCCAATGAAAAACACATTCTGTGTGAATAGGTTTTTAGGACTCGTGATTTGTGGGCATATCACAGGAGTAGCGCACGCAAATCAAATGCAAGCAGAGAACCATAACAGTTTAAGAAAAAACATGTTATGACCGGTAGTATTGGTTGAACAGCCAGGTTTTGAGTTTAGACTTAAATTCATGCAGTGTGGTTACTGTCCTAAGAGACGGGCAATTTTGTTGCGTTGTTATGCCTACAGTAATGCAACAATAACAGCAATAGAGACTGCACAGATGTTGTCTTATGACATGACAACATGTTGCCGTCACGCTGGTTTGTATTTCGTCTTATGGGAAACGCAGGAAGCTGGAAAAAAACGCTGGTTTCAAAACTCAAAGAGGTGCGTATACTAGCAGTATATTGTCTTTTTCCGCTTCCGCTTCTGCAAAGACGTTCAGCGTGTTTTCTACAAAAACTTCTGACGGGTTTACGTTTTACGTGCCATGAGACTATAAAAATGCTACGCTAAATCCGATCTGACCAGTCAGACTGAAAGGGTTTTACGGGAATGCGATTCGAATAGGATTCCAAACCACATATGAATGTAGCTCGAAATGTAGTTCATTGCCGTTCAGACTATTTAAATATGATCAGATTTCAATCGGATCTGCACAAAAATCGGATTTGGGCCGACAGTCCGAACCAGACATAACTGCACATAAAAAACATTATATAGATAGAAAAATATGTCTATACATAAATGTATATAAAAACAGTGGCAAAACATTGAAATTAATTGATCAAATCTGTCCAATTGATAAAAACTGTCCAGCACTAAGTATAATCACGCCAGCCAGTTTTGTAAGCCACTTTATGCTTTTTTGATTAGTTCGTAAACAGGATAGTCAGGGACTCAAACCTGCATCACTGGAAGCACTTCAGGCCCAATGTGTCTCGAGCTACTCCATTGCTCGAAAAGGGGATAGTTTTCTAATAGCATTTAAAACAAACTAATGCAAGTTCTTTTGATTTAAAGGTGCAGTAGGACATCTTGGGAAATGCTAACTTTAGCCTGATAGCACTGAAAGCGAACGTCCCACCCTCCCCGCAATCGCCGTCCAAAGCCACGCCTCCTGAATACATATTCATTCACCTATTGCACCTTTAAAACTGACATTGTGAATTGAAATTTCATTTCAAAATCAATTGACTTGAAAAACTGAACTGCTCTGCGTTGGAGAACTCAAACTGCTGCTATCCTTACCGTGTTTTGCGCTTATTGCTCTTGTCTTCATTGGCGTCTTCACTCACAGTCTCACTGAGCGCTGATGCATCGCTGGAGCCCGAGCGCGACTGCTCAAAGTCCGAGTCTGCAGAGTCGTCGCTGTCCACTGCACAAAAACACATCAATAAATCCAGTAAACTCTTCAGCTCATTCAGTCGAGTCACACATGCAGGTTTTGTTCAGAATTGACACTGACCTTTCTGCTTGCCTCTCTTTTTGGTTTCTTTCTTGTTTTTGACTGGGGTCTCGTCATCAGAGTCTCCCTCGCTTAGAGTCAACTTCTTACTCAACAAACGGTGTCTGCGTCCACCTTTCTTCACGTCAACATCTGAGCCAGAGTCCGAAGTTTCATCCTCTTCCTCTGCAGGAAACATCAATGCATTATATATGACAAGAACACATCTGCATTAAACTGGGTTACATCTGAACTTAGGGCTGGGCAGTACATCAAGTCTGTATGATATATGTGACCCTGCAGCACAAAAGCAGTGTTAAGTCGCTGGGGTATATTTGTAGCAATAGCCAACAATACATTGTATGGGTCAAAATTATCGATTTTTCTTTTATGCCAAAAATCATTAGGATATTAAGTAAAGGTCATGTTCCATGAAGATATTTTGTTCATTTCCTACTGTAAATATATAAAAACTAAATTTTTGATTAGTAATATGCATTGCTAAGAACTTCATTTGGACAACTTTAAAGGAGATTTTCTCAATATTTTGAGTTTTTTGCACCCTCAGATTCCAGATTTTCAAATAGTTGTATCTCGACCAAATATACATGTGACCCGTGCTAGCAAAATGTATCGGAATGCACACGGGCTAATTTTGAGCTACAGACAAAAAAAAAATTAAAAATTAAAAATGTCGATTTTGGTCTAGCAATCCCAATGCTCCAATGAGTAATCAAACATCTAAAATGATCTTTATTTGAACGTTTTCTGAGAGGAATACCTTTTCTCTGCCGCTGACTGACATATGAATCAAGCACATAACGGCGCCTCCGCCAGCGCACGATCCCGATAAATACACACACTTTATACACAGAATTACAGTATTTAAGTAGGCTATTCATGCAAACATAATCGGTTATGCCTTAACTGTATTTAAGTAGGCTATTCATGCAAACATAATCTGTTATGCCTTAACTGAACATTTGGGGAAAACATCTGATGTGTAGCATTATATTAGATCCGTGCAGTACAGTAGGACTTACTATATAGGCCATCTGACTTTACTATAGCTCCGACTGGACTCGTCTGAAAGAAGAAAGTCATATACACCTAGGATGCCTTGAGGGTGATTAAATTACAGGCTAATTTTCATTTTTGAACTTTTCTTACAAGAAAAGAAATTTACAGATCGCTGCTCTTGATTGAACTGCTTTTGTAGTTTTAATCATCAATTTATTTGTAATGAAGACACTGAAGTGATTTTTACATTTGATTATTTGTTTTTCTTACTTGAATGCTTTTGTTTAAATGTAAAATGAAAAAAGTAATGCACTAGGCCTACTTGTTTCTTTCCATCTGTTCTACTGTTGTTGTTTTGCATCAGTTCTTATTTTTAAGATTAAAAAAAATAAATGGCTTTATTGTGATTATTAATACAGTAATTAATATTAAAAAAGGAAGCGGAGGAAACAATGCAACGTTGCTCTGCGAGTTTGCTTTGGAACCTTCAGAAAACTTCAACTTGATTTTTCTCAGAACTGACTAATGATTTAAACAAATCATACATCATTTTGAAAGTATTTTAATGGAGAACGTGAAAATAAAAACTCATTTTTAAAAATGTGCTCATTTTGACTCTTGCCAGCACAGGTCACATATCGATATATTTTTTGAAACCGTAAGAATGAGGCAATACCATTTATATTTATATACACTAGTTTGATACAAGCGCAACTAAAAAAAATAACGGAGGACACAGACTGAGCTGCCGTAAGAAAGTGCATAATCCAGTTTGTCCTAAACATGAGACATGCTTTATATTAAGGGTTTTAAAATGACTCGTATGATAGTTAACATGCATAGTTTAAAGCGGCTTGCCCTGTCAGAGGCTCTGACAGCGTCTGTACTGACAGATTGGCTACTTGTGAAATTCAGCCAAAAAATGAGGTTTGATATCGCCCAGCCCTGTCTAAACCAACTCTCACCACTTTCATCTTGCTTCTTAGCACCATCTTTTCCTTTCTTTGGTGAATCCCCGTCCTCTTTGTCTGCATTTTCATCATCAGATGAACTGTCAGCTCCAGATGAATAATTGGCTTTGATTTGCGCCAGAAGCATCCTTTTGGCAATTCTTTTAGAAGAAACAGAAACAAGATTAGGCCAAAAGTCCAGAATAATACATCCTCTTACTTTACCTTGTGAACGACCAATCTGAGGCATTTTCATGAAGGGAACTACTTTGGTTTTCAGAATCAGAAACAAGACTGAGGGTGAAGCTTCAGCCTTTCTCACACAGAACAACCTCCTGGACAGCAACCAATCTGGCTTCAGAAGTGGACATTCAACCGAGACTGCCTTGCTCTCAGTTGTTGAAGCCCTAAGACTGACAAGAGCTCTGTCCGCTGCTTTTGATATGGTTAACCACCAGATTCTCCTATCAACCCTATTGGAAAAGGGCATCTCAGGAACCGCACGCCAGTGGTTTGAGTCTTACCTCTCAGATAGGTCCTTCAAGGTATCTTGGAGAGGTGAGGTGTCCAAGTCGCAACATCTAGCTACTGGGGTGCCTCAGGGCTCAGTTCTTGGACCACTTCTCTTCTCTGTCTACATGGCATCACTAGGTTCTGTCATTCAGAAACATAGCTTTTCATATCACTGCTATGCTGATGACAATCAATTCTACCTCTATTTCATCCTGATGATCCGACGATAGCTGCTCGCATCTCAGCTTGTCTAACAGACATTTCTTGTTGGATGATGGACCATCACCTTCAACTCAACCTGGCTAAGACAGAACTGCTTGTGGTTCCAGCAAACCCATCAC